TTGGTCTCCATTTTAGCATATACAATTTCATCAAATACTTTGGAACCTTGGTGTATTATTATTTACTGTGGAGCAAAATAGAATATAAGATGTGACCATCTTGGACCATGCCTAATTGAATCTAATTTATATTATAAGTACTCATACTTGGTACCAGTTTATAAGAGAGTAATCAGCAGTCCTTTTTGCCTGAAAGATTCTTAAGTTTAAACTTTTTTCGAGTGTTAACTTTTAATAGTGTCCCTTTTTTTAAAAAATTTTATAAATTAATATTTATTGGTGTTCAATTTACCAACATACAGAATAACACCCAGTGCTCATCCCGTCAAGTGTCCCCCTCAGTGCCCGTCACCCATTCACCCCCACCCCCTGCCCTCCTCCCCCTCCACCACCCCTAGTTCATTTCCCAGAGTTAGAAGTCTTTATGTTCTGTCTCCCTTTCTGATATTTCTCACACATTTCTTCTCCCTTCCCTTATATTCCCTTTCACTATTATTCATATTCCCCAAATGAATGAGAACATACACTGTTTGTCCTTCTCCGGTTACTGTGGCCAAGTTCAAAAAGGGTGTTGCCTGAGTTCTCCTCTGGGATTTTGATGGAATCTTGTCTCACATTTAGATCTTTCATCTATTTTGAGTTTATCTTTGTGTATGGTGCAAGAGAGTGGTCCAGTTTCATTCTTCTGCATGTGGATGTCCAATTTTCCCAGCACCATTTATTGAAGAGACTGTCTTTCTTCCAGTGGATCGTCTTTCCTCCTTTATCGTATATTAGTTGACCATAAAGTTCAGGGTCCACTTCTGGGTTCTCTGTTCTGTTCCATTGATCTATATGTCTGTTTTTGTGCCAGTACCACACTGTCTTGATGAACACAGCTTTGTAGTACAACCTGAAATCTGGCATTGTGATGCCCCCAGATATGGTTTTCTTTTTTAAAATTCCCCTGGCTGTTTGGGGTCTTTTCTGATTCCACACAAATCTTAAAATAATTTGTTCTAAGTCTCTGAAGAAAGTCCATGGTATTTTGATAGGGATTGCATTATACGTGTAAATTGCCCTGGGTAACATTGACATTTTCACAATATTAATTCTGCCAATCCATGAGCATGGAATATTTTTCCATCTCTTTGTGTCTTCCTCAATTTCTTTCAGAAGTGTTCTATAGTTTTTAGGGTATATTTTGAGAACCATTTGAATGGTAAATGGTTCTCCAGCCTTTTATTTTCAGGTTGTAGGTGTCCTTCTGTCTAAAATGAGTCTCTTGTAGACAGCAAATAGATGGGTCCTGCTTTTTTATCCAGTCTGAAACCCTGCGCCTTTTGATGGGGTCATTAAGCCCATTCACGTTCAGAGTTACTATTGACAGATATGAGTTTAGTGTCATCATGATATCTATTTAGTCCTTGTTTTGGTGGATTGTTCCACTGAACTTCTTCTTAAAGGGGAGTTTTAAGAGTCCCCCTTAAAATTTCTTGCAGAGCTGGTTTGGAGGTCACATATTCTTTCAGCTCCTGCCTGTCTTGGAAGCTCTTTATCTCTCCTTCCATTTTGAATGAGAGCCTTGCTGGATAAAGTATTCTTGGTTGCATGTTCTTCTCATTTAGGACCCTGAATATATCCTGCCAGCCCTTTCTGGCCTGCCAGGTCTCTGTGGAGAGGTCTGCTGTTACCCTAATATTCTCCCCATGAAACTCAGGGACTTCTTGTCTCTTGCTGCTTCAAGGATCTTCTCTTTATCTTTGGAATTTGCAAGCTTCACTATTAAATGTCGAGGTGTTGAACGGTTTTTATTGATTTTAGGGGGGATCTCTCTATTTCCTGGATCTGAATGCCTATTTCCCTTCCCAGATTGGGAAAGTTTTCAGCTAGGATTTGTTCAAATACATATTCTGGCCCTCTGTCCCTTTCGGCGCCCTCGGGAACCCCAATTAAGCGTAGGTTTTTCTTCCTTAGGTTGTCATTTATTTCCCTTAATCTGTCTTCATGGTCCCTTAATTGTTTGTCTCTTTTTTCCTCAGTTTCCCTCTTTGCCATTAACTTGTCTTCTATGTCACTCACTCGTTCTTCCACCTCGTTAACCCTCGTCGTTAGGACTTCTAGTTTGGATTGCATCTCATTCAATTGATTTTTAATTTCTGCCTGATTGGATCTAAATTCTGCAGTCATGAAGTCTCGTGAGTCCTTAATGCTTTTTTCAAGAGCCACCAGTAGCTGTAGAATAGTGCTTCTGAATTGGCTTTCTGACATTGAAGTGTAATCCAGATTTTGTAACTCTGTGGGAGAGAGGGCTGTTTCTGATTCTTTCTTTTGAGGTGAGGTTTTCCTTCTAGTCATTTTGCTCAGTGCAGAGTGGCCAGAAACAAGTTGTATTGGAACACGGGGGAGTATCACTGGTCCGTCCAGCTGGTCTTCTGGGGGAGGGGCCTGCTGTGCTGATTTTCAGGTGTTAGCACTTGGGGAAGCTGCTCTGCCCCTGCCTGCTGCAGGGCTCAGCGGGGGTTGTTTACCCCGTGGGGCCCCAGGAGGAACAGCCGCAGTTGCTATGGCAACTCTGGAAGCCTGGATTCAGCCTCCGCAGGAACTACGGGGCTCGGGGGGCTCTCGGTTCTCCGTCTGCAGGGCCTGGAGGCTCCGGGGCGGGGCCGCTGATCTGCTCAGCTCGGGGCAGGAGCGTCCTCGCTGTCCTGGGCCCTCCCGGCCTCTGCCTGTCCCAGGGGGAGGCCGGATCCTGGGCTGTGTCCCGGCGCCCTGTGCTCCGGGGCCTGCGCTGGTGGATTCGCGCCCCCGCCCCGCAGCCCCCTCCGCAGCCCTTAGGGAGCTCGGAGCACTCCCCGGGGCGCAGGTGTCTGTTAGTGTCCCCGGGAGCCCGAGGGCATCCCCGCCCTCCTGGGTCCTGCTCCACCTCCCTGCGAGCCCCTTTCCGCCCGCCCGGGAAGGTTGGTGCAGCTCCTGCTCCTCCGGGACGGGACGGGGCTCTCCTGTCCTGGGGACACTCGCCCCGGCCTCAGCCCGGCTCCTCGCGGGGCCCCTCCCCCTCGGAGGCCTTTTGTTCCTTTATTTCTTTTTCCCCGTCTTCCTACCTTGATAGAAGCGCGAACTCTTCTCACTGTAGCATTCCAGCTGGTCTCTCTTTACATCTCAGGCCGAATTTGTAGATTTTCAGGATGATTTGAAGGTTATCTAGGTAATTTGGTGGGGACAGGTGATTTGGGGACCCTGATCTTCCGCCATCTTGCCCCTCCCCCCCCAACATTTTCTAATAGTGTCCCTTTTCACGCTCAAAAAGTACCTCAGTTTGGATAAAAAATTATAAGGATTATAAGGCATAGTTGTTCACATGGATAGTTTTTAAGAATATTTTGACATTTAAGGCTTAAATTGTTTCTGTTTACATTATTCCTCCAATACTTAGCAATACTTCATTTGCTTTAGCTTTTTAAAAATCTCTCATTTCTATTACTTTCATGTTGAACTTGTTGCAAAATTCACAGAATTGTTTATGTGAGGTATTTCTAGAGCAGTAATGTTAGTGTCTATCTTCTTGAACTTTTTTCTTATATCCAGAATAATGTTTACTTTTTTGAACAAAGCATCTGAAATTTGTGAAAGCATTTGTCTATGTGTGTGTATATGTTTTGGTTTTACTTTACTAAATGTGTGATAAAATCTTTTTGTGTGAATATGACCAAATCTTTTAACCTGGCCAAATAAACCTTCCTTTATTGTATTGTTTTTTGGTGTTGATGCTATCCAGCAATATGAATTAGTTTATACTTGGATCATTGGCTTTGTAGTATGCTAACTAATACTGTTCTTAATACAGATCCCTGTGGGATTCACTTAATGCCAGTCAGTCCCTATTGTGTTCTAACAACGTTGATAAAACATTGGTCCTTGCTATGAGCCAGACAGATTGTTATCTAGCTTATTTTATCATTCAGATAATACTTCTCCAGACTTTTCTTATATAGTACTGTGTCAGAGTCCTTGTTATGATGTAGATAAATTGTGCCCATTTCCTTTCTCTTCCAGCTCTGTTACCACTTGATTTGTACAGCTTACAGTTACTCATCTTCATCACTGATTGTAAGCTGTAACTCAACCAATCCTATTCTTTCTAAAACTATTACTTTATATATATTATGGGATATATTATGAAGTTGCCATTTTAAAAGGCCAAATAGTTTAATCTTTTCTTTAGTCAAAAGTATTTGTACTTATGAATATATCTTTAAAACCTTAAAATTAAAAAAAAAAACCTTAAAATTTTTTCAATATTTTTAGTTTGGTGTTTATGTCATAATATATATATAATAATATATATAAAAATATATATATATTTCTCAGCGTTATATATTGATATATATCTGACTTGACTTCAGTGCTTATTGGGATCATTAATAAAATACTAATATTTGAGAATATTAATCTGGTGAGTAGAATATCACATAGGAATTTCTTTTTTTTTTAATTTATTTATGATAGTCACACACACACACACACAGAGAGAGAGAGAGAGAGAGAGAGAGAAGAGAGAGGCAGAGACACAGGCAGAGGGAGAAGCAGGCTCCATGCACCGGGAGCCTGACGTGGGATTCGATCCCGGGTCTCCAGGATCGCGCCCTGGGCCAAAGGCAGGCGCCAAACCGCTGTGCCACCCAGGGATCCCTCACATAGGAATTTCTAATTGTGTTATCATTGGCTTTAAAATTTTACCCTCTTGGGATAAAGTTATTTATGTATAGCTATTTTCAATTTCATAGTATAGAAATTGTGAATAAGAATTTTCATAAAATGTTTATGCTTTGAGAATATATTTATCTAGGCACTAAAGATAAATTATATTAATGATTTTACTTTTTTTGCAATGGGCATAATATAAACAGAAGTATTGTTTGTTTTATTAGATACATAGTCATGTTTCTTGCTTTATAAGATATAAATGTCAAATATATAATACAGTGTTTGCCATTTTTGTTTTTGTGTTTCTTCTGCAGAGAGTGATAATGAACTCTCAAGTGGAACAGGCGATGTGTCTAAGGATTGTCCTGAGAAGATCCTATATTCTTGGGGAGAATTGCTAGGAAGATGGTAAACATTTATTTGTCTCATTGAAAATTTTATATTTACATAGTTAATGTTAATTTGTCTTATTAATTAAAATCTATATGTTTATCTTAATATTAGTATTTTAATGTACTTTAAAAACAAAAAAGTTAAAACATAGTTCACAGATATTCTTTATGTTTGGCTGGGTCTTCCATCTAATATGGTTTTACTTAACTTACTTTTGGAAGATACATTTGCTTTATTATTTCATTCAGACATAACATTGCTCAGAGTAGTTAACTCTATGCTTTATTGCCCAAACATGTAAATATCTGTTGTTAAAGGGTTACATTTCTTTTCTCTACTAAGCCTATTACCACAATAAAGGGCTGTAGTGCTTAGAATTACTCATTTCACCACTGACTGATAATAAACTGTAACTCAGTCTGTTTTTTTCTTGTGACTAAAACACTTTACATTTTGGAGTATTTTATCTAGAACTATAAAAAAGGGTACTTTGTTCATATTTACTATATATACTCTGTATTTATTATAGGTAAGTCTTTTAGAGAGGTAATCATGGCTATCATTTGTTAGTAAAATTAAAAAATCTTGTCAAAAAAAAAAGACTGCCATACCAGGATATAGAAACCATACTGTATTATTGACTATACATATCAAATTACATGCATGCTAGTGGTCTGGGAGAAACTACTAAGTCTGGGCAGAATTTCACACATTTTATACAGTAAGTAAAGTGGAAGAAAGAAGAATTAAAACTTTATCTTTTAAAAAAATAAATAAAACTTTATCTTTTTAAGAGACAAATGAATGCTCCTTATTATAATCTCCGGTACACACTCTGAGAGACTCCTGAGTGAATTTAGGAAATATATACTTATAGTTCTGAGAATTGGAAAGCTCATGACTTCTTACTTAGAATCTGGAGAATAGTTTTGTCAGCTTCATGACCAAAGTGTTGAATCTATTATGTTTTCAAGGAGATGCCCTAAGAGTAATGGAGGGCTAGCTGCTTCCCCTAATTAAACAATGAAACTTTAATCTTATTTATCTCACATATACCACTGTAAAATGAACACATCTCAGAGAGTTTACTTAACTCATTAATTAATGGGAACCAGTAAGATTTTAGAACCAATCAAAATGAGAATTCATTTTAGAGATTTATATTCTTGATAATTCACTTGCATTGTCATGAACAGGAATTTTTTTCATTGCTGTGGACAAGAACTTATGCATTGTTATCAATTTTCTACACATCGTCTGTTGAGAGTTGTAAATTTTCCTAGTCAAAGACAAATAAAGGCATACACTTCTGTCATATCAGATAATATCTAGAAGCTGATTGACTCATGTACGTGCTGTTCACCTTTCTAAACTTAAATGTTTTACTGATTTCATTTAGTATTATTGCCTCTTTTAAGTGAATAATTTTCATTTTCTATGCCCTGAGTTAAAGTGATTCAACACACTTGTTAAAGGTGATAAGGAAGACTTTATTTAAGGCATAGGTATAGGTATCACTGAAATGAGGTCTTGCAGTAGGGGAGAGGGACTGGGCTCAACTCCAAATATAGCAAGGAAAATTACAAATTTATAGCCAAGGAGAGGATGGAGGTCCACAGATGGAAAATTAGAGGAGACATCAGGAGTAAAGGGGTCCTGGCTAAACTGACCTAACTGGATTCTTGCTAAAGGTAGATTAGGTTGATCAGGCATCACCTGAGGATGGTGGAAGATGAGGAACTCAAATATCAAGGATGATCAGATACTGAGGGTGAGGGATCCTGGCTAAACTGACTTTAGTAGGATTCTTGCTAATATAGAACAATGCAGAGATGAACATGGAAGCTTAAAAATCAGGGCCTATTTGAGAAGAGAGTTCAGGTGAGGCTGAGTAGAGTTTGGTCAAAAAGAATGTTTTTCATTAGTTAATAGAATTTTGGGGCAGCCCTGGTGGCCCAGCGGTTTAGCACTGCCTTCAGCCCAGGGCGTGATCCTGGAGACCTGGGATCGAGTCCCACGTCAGGCTCCTTGCATGGAGCCTGCTTCTCCCGCTGCCTGTGTCTCTGCCCCCCCCTTTGTCTCTCATGAATAAATAAATTAAAAAAAAAAAAGAATTTTGTAGGACAGTTAGGTGTTGGGAATGGGGAAGGGGTGCTGGTCAGAGCAAGAAGATTGTTAAGTCAGAGTCCAGTTGGGAGAACAGAAGCCCTGCCAGCCTTTTCAAATAGAAGTGTATTATTGCAAGAAATTGGTTTCTAGTGTGTTAGAATGCTGAAAGACAGAAAGAGGACATTATAATAACCCAAGTAGTAGGAAGCAGCAGTATCCTCAGAGGTGGAGAAATAAAATGGAAGAAATATTGTCAGTGAAATCTAGGAACTCAGTGGAGATCTCCTGAGGAGCTGATGCAGGGACTTCTGAAGAAGGCTGCCCAGCTGGTTGTTTAGGCTTCTGAGGATACTCAGAGCAGCTAGGGTTTAGAAGGGTCTGGGGAAAAATATCAGAAAAAAAAAAAAAAAAAGAAGAAGAAGAAGGGCCTGTGAAAGGAGGGGTCATTTGGTTAGTTCTTGGATTCTGAAGAGTTACCCAGACCTCTGAGGTGGTAGGGAGACACAATGTGTTTGGTGCTGGTATTTCCTAGAGTACCTGGTGGGTATCAGTAATTATCAGTTGTGGTATAGCTACTACTGGCAAGCAGTCCTTGCTGTTCTACCTTTTGATCGCATGCCATTGTTAACCTAACTTGGAAACTGAGTTTTACAAGGTTATAGGATACAAGGTAGATATGCAAAAATCAATCCTATTTCTATATACCGGCAATGAAAAATTAGAAATAGAAATTTAAAATGTAAAAGCACTAGAAAGAGGCATGAAACATTTTGGTAGAAACTGAACAAACTGTTACTAGATCTATACACTGTATCATTTGATATAATGAAAGAAATCAAAGAAGATCTCAGTAAATGGAAAAATAATACCATATTTATAGAATGAGTCTCAATATTGTTAAGATTTCCATTCTGCCTGTGGTAGTCTTTGGAATCAATGTAATTTCAATAAACATACTAGTGGAATTGTTTTGGTAGCAACTGCAAAGCTGATTCTAAAATTTATATAGAAAAGCAAAGTAACTAGAATAGCCAAAACAATTTTAAAAATGAATAACGAACTTGGGAGACTCATACTACCTGATTTCAGGTACCATAAAGTACCTGATTTCAACTTACCATCAAGCTACATTATTCAAGACATTATTGATTAAAGGATAGATACATAGATCAAAGGGGCAGAATAGAGAGCCACACAATGTAAATCAACATTTCTCCAGGGAAAACATACAAATGACCAGCCAGCATATGAAAAGATGCTTAACATCATTAGTCATTAGGGGAAGGCAAATCAAACCACAATGAGATACCACTCATTCTTGCAGTTCCTTAAAAGTTTAGAGAGATAAGATATGGCCTAACAATCTCACTCCTGCTGATATGCCCAAGAGAAATGAAAGCATCTGTCTAAATGTTCATGATATCATTATTCATAATAACCAAAAAGTGAAACCAATCCAAATGTCCACCAAGTGATGGATAAATAGATATGGTATATACATATGTTGAGATATTCAGCAATAAAAATCAAGTACTGGTACATCTACGACATGTGTGATCCTTCAGAACATTATGCTATGTGAAAAATAGCAAATCAGAAAAGAGTAATTGTATGAATTCATTTATGTGAGATATCAAGGATAGGCAAATCTATAGAGACAAAAAGTAGATTAGTGATTGTCCAGAGCTGGAGTGAGGATTTAGGTAAGTGGGGAGTGAATGCTAAGAAGTACAGGGTTTCTTTTTGGGGTAATGCAAATGTTCTAAAATTGGTTGTGTTAGCAGCTATACAAACTGTGTGAATATATTAAAACCATTGAGTTAATTAAATGGATGAATCGTATGGTATATGCATTATATCTTGTTACAGTTGTATGCAAAAGGAAATACACACATATATGGTCTGTTGATTGTAAATAAAAATTTAATTGAAATTCAATGGAGAAAGGATAATCTTTTTAGCAAATCATGCTTTAAATTGGATATCTATATGCAAAAATTAAAACAATAAAAACCTTGAGGCACACTTTGCCCTATAATGAAAATTAGCTCAAAATGAGTCATAGATCTAAGTATAAGAGCTAAAACTATAAGAGCTATAGAAGAAAACATAGGAAATCTTTGTGACCTTTGGTTAGGCAGAGAGTTCTTAGATATGATACCAAAGGAATGATGTCTGAAAGAAAAAAATTATAAATTTGACTTCATCAAAACAAAACTTTTGTTCTTCAAAGGACATTCAGAAGAATTGAAAAGCTCCACACTGGGAGAAAATATTTGCGAAACATATCTGATAAAAGACTGGTATCCAGACTATAAAAAATTCTCAAAATTCAGTCTTAAAAAGGAAACAAAAAACAACCTCATTTAAAAATAAGCAGAAGATCTGAACAGCTATTTCACCAAAGAAGATATTTTGGATTACAAATAAACCCGTGAAAAAATGCTAAACAACATTAGTCATTAGGGAAATACCAATTAAATCCACAGTGGGCAGTACTATGCTAGTATACACATATTCAAATGACTGAAATAAAAAAGCAAAAACAACAGCAAAACACCGATAATACCAAGAGCTGGCAAAGATACATTGCAACTGCAGCTCTCATGTTTTGCTGGTGGAAATGCAAAATGGTGCAAGTGTTTTGGAAAGTTTGGCATTTTCTTAGAAAGTTGAACACATACTTCTTATACTACCCAGCATTTCCAATTCCACTCCTATGTATTTATCCAACTGAAATGAAAACCTGTGTACAAAAGTCTACAACATCTTTATTCATAATTACCCCAAACTGGAAACAATCCAGATGCTCTCCAACATGGATCAACTAACTGGTATATACATCCAGTCAATGGAATATCCTGAGCAATTAAAAGAATGAACTACGGATTCATGCAACAACATGA